AAAAAAAGGATGGCTATTTCTTGGCTGATTCTTTTTACATATCTAGAACTTACCAAGATCCCAAAATTTAAATTGGATGTGCTTTCCCCCCACTTGGTGAATCATCAGTAATCTTTGTTAAGAAGCCTTATTTGCAATTTTGAGAATCAAATACATATTAATATATAACACTGAGCGCAGTGGTAGGTGTGGTCTGAAATGAAGCAAAGCAAAATAACTGAACCTTTAAATGGTGTATCGTTATGAAGATTGACAAAATAATTCATATTGATGTGGCTGTGTAACCCAGAAGAAAATTTTAATTTCAGTTCAGTTAAATAGATCATATTTATAGTCAGTGGCACAAAAAATAGTGCAGGAAATTGAAATTCAGTTTGTTTGCATCTGGCTCCTGTATAATTTTTTTTCAGTCAAAGAAAGAAGCCAGGTTTCTAGTTTATCTGAACATCATTCTTAAGAAGCTTTTTAGTGTAAGTTTTACTGAACAAAATTTTGTGAACCCCCTTAGTTTTGAAAGATTACCTGGGGTAATCTTGTACTACCTTCTGTTTTAACTATGCATGTATGTTATATTGGTATGTTATTTTGTATCCAGGCAATGCCACTTAAGAAATTCTAGATTCCAGTTTAAAGTTCAGACTTCCCTGTGACATTTTGAAGGGAAAAAAAAGTTTGCTTTTTATGAAACAATACTTTAGCACTGTATTAAATCTGTGCTCTTTTCTCTTATTAGGATGCTCATGCAAGAACTAAGTTATATTGATTTATTGGAGTTGCTGTAAAAGAAGGAAATAGCATTGGGAGAGTTCCCCCCCCCCCCAAGTTTTCTGAGGCAATAGACAAAGGAAATAATGTGAATGTAAAAGTACCTTGTAAAGCAGAATTTTGTTTTACATGAGATGCAAGTATTTCTTAGAGTGATACCTTTTATTGAACCAACTGCATAGTTGGGATAGAGTTAGACAAGGTTTCAAATGAATGCAAGACAATCTTCCCTTCATTTTGGAAGGCTGCCTTGCATTCATTTGAAAGTTTGTCTAACTCTCCCAACTATGCAGTTGGTCCAATAAAAGATATTGCTTAAGAAATCCTTTCCTCTTGCATAATTCCTGAACCATTACAGCTACCACATGACTTCAGTTTTACCCAAGCTAAGGCAGATTGCTTTACGTTTGTTTGAGGGGTGTAACTTCTTAAATAAAGACATCCAACTTTTATTTACAGTACTATGATATTTGGACCTTTTTATCAATATGGCTTAAACTTAATATTGACTTCAAAAAATGGCAGCTCACCAGCTGTTTTTGTTACTAGCACACTTGAATCCTTAACATTATGACAGTCTGATTTAAAGATAACAAACCTATTTTTAAATTAGTAGGTTTAATGACAGATACCATTTTAATACCTGCCTAATACCATTTTACAGTTCATAAATTCCATTCCAAATCTTTCTGCTTTTAATTGTTGAAAGATGATTTGAGTTTGAAAGGGAGGATTTTTATCAGTTGTTTCCATAACCTGATCTTATCTTCATGTGGATGAATTCTAGATTTCTTGTTGATTTATAATTCTGAAGAAAGTAGATTTAGCTTCTCATTGTGTTGGAGTGTGTCAGTAGCTATAGACATTTTTTTCACCTAAAATTGATAATGGTTTTTAAGTTTAGATTCTTGCTTGAAGGTTATATAAATATTAAAAGGTTCCTGAGCTTTAAAAAGGAACCAGTTGGGAAAACAGGATTAGTAGTAATATTACAATTACTTCTGGTCAAAACTTGTAATAGTTAATAGTCCCTTGCCCTTGCTCTGTAATTCAGTCTAATGAAACCCTGCTAATGTAAGACACCTTTAACATTGGGTAATTGGATGTTTTTGTTACCCCCCTCCCTGTCTTCTACTTCTCCCACTCCCCCCCAAATGGTAGTTGTAAGAGAATAGAAAAATTGAGTGCTCTAGTTGTGAGGTAATTTGTCATCTTAATTTGTTCCTGAAAATTACAAGAAATATGTTGTGTGCTGTTACTGGAAATATAAAATAATCATTTGTTCAGAAGTGGTAAAATATGATTTAAATGTCTGCCTGGTGCATCGGTTCTCCCAACATGTTTGCACAATACACTTCCTTCTGTTTTTGAGTTTTCATGCTAGTAAAAATAATATTAAGTATTGCATAACTACTTCCAGTTCCGTGATCTAGGTTGCGTGGCAAGTGTTACTATTTAGGAAGCGTGTGAACTTTGAAATAATGTGTATTAAGTTATTCCGTAAATCCTGTATTTTGTTCAGGTTAGGATATTTAAAAAGAGCTTTTACAGGGAAGATACAAGGGGTTAAAATTTCTATGTAAATATGACAACATAAGATGCTAGATTTTAAAATACTGTTTCTTTTTTTTTATGTAGCTATGTAGGAAACCTCTCCAGAGATGTAACTGAAGTACTAATACTTCAATTATTCAGCCAGATTGGACCGTGCAAAAGCTGTAAAATGATAACAGAGGTAAGACTTTCAATAGCTAATGGCATCAAGTACAGTATAACTTATTAGCACAAAAATACAGAAGATAGATAGGATTTGGAGCATCTCTCTGTACTACTTGTTTGCTTGGCAAACTACATTTGGTTTTGTAGGAGTGTAGTTATTGAAGGGGGCACCCATGTACCATTGATTCCATTCCCTGCTACTGCAAGAATCTCTGTCCTATAATCTTTCATTAAATCAAGTTCCATTTGAAAAGTAGGTTTGAAGGGTTTTTTTTCCCTTTTTTCGTTTCCTTCTTTACTCTTATTGGAAAGTTGTTTTGGAACCTTGCTCCCTCGATGGTCAGAGACGTTTCTGAATTTTTAGTCTAAACTTATTTACAGCCAATGTATGCTGATTTGTTCTTGTCCAAATATTATATTTTAGCTTAAATAGCTCCTCTTTCTCCTTAGTGTTTTACTCCTGTGATGTATTTAAATGCAGTGGTCATATCCCACTTTGCCTTTATTTTGCTTGTCTAGACAAACCCATTCCTTTTAGTGTCCTTTAAATGTTTAGGCATTCTATTTACCCGACATTGCTACTCAGCCTCTGCACTTGTTCCAGTCTGAGCAAGTAGGGTCTCATTTGCCCCTTTCATTGCTTCATCATACTTGTGTCTCAAGTAATCCCAGCGTGTAGTAGTGTGCTGATTCTTCTTGTTTGTCTCCAAGTGATGACTTCCTAGTTAAGAGGGAGTACTCTTTTTATTTTATTGTGCTGGGGATGTGTCTCTTAAGCAGGGAAGTTGATTTTTTTTTCCCTGTCCTGAACAGAAGTATTGAGATGCTGTTAAATGGTTATTGTGGGTTTTCCTTCTCTTTCCTCCAGGAGTCACATAGAGGGGAGAGGTGAAGTCTAGCCAGGCAGATTGGGGTGGGAGTGCACTGATGTGATGGCACCCAGATTCCTGCTCCACCCAGAGTTTAAAACCAGTTCCCTTGCAGCCACAGTGGCATTTCTGTTGAGGCAGTGTGGAGGGATTCAATTTGTGCCCCAATCTACTTGATTCCTGCTAATTGCTCTTCATTCATGGATCTTAACAATGCTCTCTCATTTTTAATGGTCCACTAATCAATCCTTTCCTCAGCAATTTTCCTGTGCATTAGCTATTCCTGGTCTTTCTCTCACTCTCTCCAATGCCCTGCAGACTGTTTTAGCTCTTTACAAATCTGGAGTTGCCCATGGAGTCCAGTCTTCAGCAACAGCTATAGTAGCAGTTTTTGGCTGAGCAGCCAAGAGCTGCTTACAGCTTAGCTGTGAAAGGGTTAAAACTGTAGCTTTTACATGAATGGTAAATTAAGACTGAATGAGCTGAAGATTGGGCTCTGTCTATGCTCTTTGCAGCTATAACTCCTAGAAAAAAAATTTTCTTCATTCTCTCTTTCTAGAAAATAAAGTCTCTCACTTATTTGGGGCATGTGATTTTTTTTTTTTTTTTTTTTTGGAAAA